TCTAATATATATAAAAGAGGGGGGGGGGGGGGGGGGGGGGAGTGATGCTTAGATAATGAATGTCTTTAAAAGCCCTTGGAGATCTCCAAGTGACACGTGCTATGGCATTTTTTTGGCCTGGCTACAGAAAGGATGACTCCGTCACTGGGCTGCCTTACTTCGCCGGACTTCAGAACTGCAAGGAAAATCAGAGACCCGGGCTGAGGCTGGGCCCTCGTGCCTTAGTGGTGGGCTACTGCACAGCAGGGCCTTCCCGATGAACCCCTGCTGTTTTTCCTTCCGCAGGAGCTAAGCGTTGCTCTGTACCGGCACCTCCTGGGCCTTCAGGGGAACGAGACCTGCCCTGCCCTGCCCGTGGTTGGAAAGGATCTGCACCTTCTCTGCTGCGACATTGACGCCGCGCTGATTGACAGGGCCGAGCGAGGCAGCCCCTTCCCGGCCTCCATCTCCTACGCCACCCTGGACGTCATGGACCCTGGCGCCCGGGAGTTACTCTTCAGCACCTATTTGAGCCGGTTCCGCCGTTCTGCCTTTGACATGGGCTTCTGTATGTCAGTGACGATGTGGATCCACCTCAACCACGGGGACGATGGCCTGGTGGAGTTCTTAGCCTACCTCTTGTCTCGGTGCAAGTACCTGCTGGTGGAACCCCAGCCGTGGAAGTGTTACAGAGCAGCCGCCCGGCGCCTCCGCAAGCTGGGGAGGAATGACTTCGACCACTTCCGCTCGCTGGCCATCAACGGGGACATGGCGGAAAGGATCACGGAGATCTTAACTGAGGACGGGGCCATGGAACGAGTGTGCTGCTTTGGGAGCACCAGCTGGGACAGGCGCCTCTTGCTTTTTAAATCAAACAGATTGGCTCACAAGCAACTCTGAGAGAGGGCTGTCAGAGGCCTGCTGAGAACACCCTCCTGCACCCGTGCAGGGGGGCAAGGTGGCGGGGCTGATGGTTTGAGTATAGAACTGGGAGCTAGGAGCCTCAGAATCTACATCCCCGATCTCATGCTTTGATTCTGAGTGGCTTTGGGCACGTCTCCTCACCCTTCTCTGCCTCAGTTTCTCCATCCGCAGAAGATGCATGATAATTGTGCCCTATCTCTTGGGATGCTCTTAGAAAGTGCTTTTGAAGGTAAAAAGTGCCATATAAGTGCTTTGTACATGCACTGTCCTTCCAGGAAATAACCCATGTTTTTGTCTTTCCCTGGGGTTTTTAAGAAAGAGGAATATAACACACTTCCACTTATCACGTGCGATAACTCTCTTATCTCACTTCCTGTAATGTTTTTCTTTAGTAAATGTTTCCGACAAACTTCTGACTGGCCTTCCTCGTATTTGTAAGTGGCCTCCGAAGGTCAGTTCCCAAGAGGTGTGGGTTTGGCTAGCGTTAAGAGGGGCCTAAACAGTATCAAGGCAACTTTACTGCCACTTGTCTCATAAGCCAACTTCAGCAGCTGGCCAACGTTTGTGGCCTTTGAGTGTCACACGGAATGAAGTTTTTGTGGGACTCGTGTCCCTATAATTCTGTGACAAAAGGGAAAGCGCTTGATAAGCTATTTTTTATTTTTAATCAGACATGCCTTTTATTTTTTTCTTCTCGGCCTTTCCATGCAACCAGTAAGGATATTCAGTTGTATTTTAGAAATCAAGGGTTCTGCTAATGGAGTTTATAGTACAATTTTGTAATAAAAGAAATGCCTTTGCTGGTACCTTAATCATAGGAAGATAATTTATACTTCCTGAAATCAAGGGCCTTGGTTGAAATGGTATGTTAATATTTTTTCAGGTAAGACAGCAATTAAAAGCCTTAAAATGTGGGAAATACAGTTAAAGAATTCTAAAACATTTCCTTTTTCTATCAAGACACATTTCAATCCTTTTTAGCAGTTCTACATTTCATATTTATCATCACACTGTAATGATTTTCAACATAATTCCAATTTTAGCTCTTTTATCATTGTTCAGCTGTGTATAATAAAGCTAGTAAACATTACTAGTACTTGTGGTAATTGGGAAGATTTATTTTTCATCTGCTTTTCAGAATACATGTGTCTTGTGGTTTAATTATAATTTGCACACTTCAAAGACTTGAGGTAGGTATAAGTTATAAGGCCCTCCGGTTCCATGTGCCACTGTTTTCTTACAATAGAATTGGAACAAAAGGAAAAGTTATGTAGCACTTAAACCATCTTGTTAGTCTTTAAAGTGCTACATAGTTTTTCCTTTTGTTTTAGCAAGATCAGACTAACATGGCTACCTCTTTATTACTTTTCAGTAGAGTTGGAGTTAAACTTGGATATGTATTGAAATTATTAGCACATTTTCCTTTAATGATACTGATCCAATGAAAGGAAAAACTGCAGAGACAAAATCTTCCTCCAGGAGGCGTTCTTGTCTAACGTTTCATGCAGTTGGGTGGAATACCATGAACATAAGAACGGCCGTACTGGGTCAGAACAAAGGTCCTTCTAGCCCAGTATCCTGTCTGCTGACAGTGGCCAGCACCAAGTGTCCAAGAGAGGGTGGACCAAAGACAACGATCAAGTAATTTGTCTCCTGCCATCTCTCTCCAGCCTCTGACAAACAGAGGCCAAGGACACCATTTTATCCCCTGGCTAATAGCCTTTTATGGACCTAACCTCCATGGGTTGCTTATCTGTATGACTGTCTTTTCCCCCCTTATTGGAGCTTTCTAAGTCACAGTATTGTTATGTGTAGTGCTTGAGGAAATGATTAAACAACCCATTATGGGCTTACATTTTTAACCAAATCCCATCGCAGCCCTGCAGTCAGCCAGAGAGTTTTAAAGGCAAAGGGTGAGCGAAATTAGCGATTGGAATCTCTGAGTATTACTCACAAACAAAGGGTATTTCCTATCGATGACATGAGGGAGCGGGAATCACAAAAAGGCCTCACGGGCAGAGTTCAAGGCATGGTTCCATTGCTGCCGAGCATAATTTTACTTCAAGAGTTGCTGTTGGAAATACACTTGTTCAAAGAAGTAGTAAAGTTTCCATTGCTGCCGAGCATAATTTTACTTCGAGTTGCTTTTGGAAATACAAACTTGTTCAGAGAAGTAGTAAAGGAACGGTCATTGGCAGTGATAACCTCCTTTCACCCAGCAAGCTTCTGATGTCTTCCATCCCTTTGGCTGAGCGTGGAACACTGTGCACAGTTCTAGAGCGCAAGTTCAGAGAGAGGGAAGACTTCTGTACCCAATCAAAACTCTAAGGAGAATGCAGGGAGGTGATATGTAATCACCCACGGCCAGCACTCCAAGTTAGCAATCAAAACAACTGTGACATTCAGTTGCATGTTGGGGTGTGAAAATACATTTATTTTTGTAAACATAATTGCTGAATTTTTTTCACGTTAACACTTGGAGGTGGGGGGGCGCAGGCAAGAGCCGGTGCTTGTGGGAAGCCAGCTTTTAATCCAACTTCCCCCTAGCACCGGCTCCCGCTTGCCCCCACCCTGCGCTGCTGCTCTGTGGGAGGCAGCAGGGGAAGGGAGTAGGTGGCTCCGCGGGAGCCGCCACATGGGGAGAGCCGGCTTAAAAGCTGGCTCCCACTTTCCTCCTTCCCCTCCTCCCCCCTTGCCTCTGATACAGAGGCAGCAGGATGGTATGTGTGTGCCTGTAACTGTGCGGGTTAATCGCTGAGGCCAGGCTTATCGATTAACTGTATACCTGTTCGCATGCCTAGTCCCATGTGACTTCAGCGGGCAGGGAGCTGGCCCATCTTATCTGACAAACCAGCATCTCCAGGTTACAGCACCGCGCTCAGCCTCGAGCTGAGGCCTTTCTTCGTGGCCCACTCCCAGGGAGGAATCAAACCATGTCGGACTTACCAGCCCTATTTCTGGTCGTAACAACTGAGGCTGTTGCTTGGACGTCTCCCAGCCCAGCGAGCGCCTCAGTAATTTGGACCCCGTTGCATTCTGCGTAAATCATTAGAGCCCGGCAGCCCCTTCCTTCTCATTTCTAGACTTCCTGCCCAGCACTGGGCAGAAATGCCTTTGCACACTGCACCCCGCACCCAAAACGAGATGAAGATATTACAGCCCAGGGGAGGCTGGATTCAGGGCCAATCGGGAAGGGGGCGGGGTGCAGGAGGGTCATTTGACCTGGGCCTTGAGCAAAAACGGGGGCCTCCAATTTAGACACGCCTTCATTGGAAGGTGGGTTTTCCCTTGCTAATTAGGGTGCGTCTAGACTGGCAAGATTTTGCAGAAATACTTTTAACGGGGAAGTTTTTCCCATTAAAAGTATTTCCGCCAAAGAGCGTCTAGATTGGCATGGATGCTTTTGTGCAAAAAGTGCTTTTGGGCAAAAGCATCCGTGCCCAGTCTAGACGCAATTTGTGCAAGAGAGCTCCAATGGCCATTTTAGCCATCGGGCTTTCTTGCGCAAAAAATTAAGGTGTCTGCTTTTGCACAAAAACTTGCCAGCTGTCTACGCTGGCCGCTTGAATTTGCACAAGAGCACTGACGTTCTAATGTAAGAATTCAGTGCTTCTTGCGCAAATACTTTGACGCTCCCGCTCAGGGATAAGCCCTCTTGCGCAAGAGGGCCAGTGTAGACAGGCAACTTAATTTTTTGCACAAGAAAGCCCGATGGCTAAAATGGCCATCGGAGTTTTCTTGTGCAAAAGCGCGTCTATACAGGGCACGGATGCTTTTGCGCAAAAGCATCCGTGCCAATCTAGACGCTCTTTTGCGGAAATAATTTAATGGAAAAACTTTTCCTTTAAAAGTATTTCCACAAAATCATGCCAGTCTAGATGCAGCCCTTGTGTTTGACGGAAAAGGGCTAGAAATGATTTCTCTCTCTCTCTCTCTCATATTTCCGTCTAGTGTCGTTTTTTAATTTTCATTCTGGCCAAGGGGGCCTCAAAAGCTAAAACAGGCCCGGGCCCCTCTGGATCTCTCCAGGGGCCTGGCTGGCTGAGACCATTATGTGCCCCAGGCGGAGAGGAGGAGGGACCACAGTGCCTGCGATGGCAGGGATATGGTGACACCCAGACAATCCTGCAAGCAACCTGCCTCCATATGCTGCAGGGGAAGGTGACCCTCTCCCCCCCACACACACGTCACTGCCAGTTTGAC